CATATGTGCTTCATTTTCACTGGAGGAAACAGCTGTGGTGTGATGTGGGATGACAACTTTACAGTAGATGTGGAACCAATTGCTCCCCATGATATTTTTTAAACTGTATTTATGACAAAGAACTGCGCAGATGCAGATATTATAACAATCTATCAATAAACACAGACCTTGTCCTCTGGCGATCACAAATTCGTGTACAGTTTATGGAGCTAATCGCAAAATCTTGGGGGGGGGGGGGGGGGGGGATGCGCCCCCCAAAAACCCGCGCGACACACATGGTGATGTGGTTATGATCCATCTCATCCATGGAGTGGGTGGGCTACCTGTCCCCTGTTGGTTTTGATTGATAGCCCAGCAATTTAAAAAAAAAAAGCAATTAACCTGCCATTCAAAAAGGAGGTGTAATTGTTCTTTTGAATTTTCATTATAAATCTGCATGTGTCATATCATATACTCATTCACATACTCAATTTTAAGCACATTTTAAGTCTAACGGGAAATACTGGCCTAATTTTGAAAGCTGTGTTTTGGGCCCAACACATCTGTCAAACATGGCAATCAATTTCAATGTTATCCCCATGAGATATTGTCAGCCTGGAGTATTTGTCAGTGTAATAAAGGCCATTTCATTTCATGATTAATAACTGGAGCATAAAAATATCTAATGCAATTACAGACACTGTCGTTTTTTTTCCTCTTCATCCAGAAATGCAGATGTCCCTCCAATAAACTTTCATTAGCTCTTTATCCATATTTATGCATAGCCCATACTTCTCTGTTGCAACTCTCACATATTTTATTAGATATGTTATCATTCATAGCTGTAGCTCACACTCTTTTGAAATAAAAACAGTGTTTTCCCATAATTTGCACATACCCAACAGATGACGCTATTTGCTAATCACTTCACACTTTGGCAGGTCACATAGTCTGGCCACTGGCCACTAATATGAATATGGCAATAGTAGTTAACCATATGACGGCATATCAGTGTCTCCTAAGAACAGCATTACTCCATTGTTTTATATTTTATCAAATCATTTTCAGTGTTGGCCAATTAATTAGACAATATATATATATATATTTGTAGAAACGGCAAATTTTTTTTCTTTTCCAGCATACTGTGGAATATAGAATAGAAAGTTTAAGCATTTAATTGAAATATAAATATTTTCTAACATTACAAATGTCAACATTATTTACAGTCCCTTTTGATCAATGTAATGCATACTGGCTGAATAAAGGTATTAATTTCTTAAAAAAAAAAAAAAAACTAACTGACCCCAAATTTTTTAACAGTAATGCATATAAGGATTATATTGGAGCAGATTGCAGTCTGAATTTAAAAATAACCATAATACACCAAAATATTTAACTAATTCAATGTTAAAAAAAAGTTGTGCTGCTTAACATTTAATAATAAAAAGAACAGCATTTATTTGAAAAAGAAATATTTATTATATTTATTATAAATGTCTTTACTGTCACTTTTGGTCAATTTAATATGTCCATTATGAATAAAAATATTCATTTCTTAATTCAATATCAGTCATTGACCTTTATTGTAAGAATCCTCTCCTATACCTGTTTCTTCATCCGTATTTGTTTCCACAGTACAGTTTGAAGAGAGAATACCCATTCTTCCTCTCCAGATATCTTCCAGTTCCTCTTCCTCTTGCTGGAATAGCCAGTGGCCTGGCTTAAGAAGCTCCTCCATGCTGATGTCAGGTTTCTCTGCACAGTCTACACTTGTCTCTTTCACTGTATCACTGAAACACACTGCACAGTCTCTCAGACCACAGTTTATGATGCGGCCGCTCTTACGAGAGACTGGGCTATTAGGGAACAAGTTTTTTGAGGAGTTTATCTTCATGTGTTTGGATGTGTAATATAAGTGATCATTCAGGTCTTTAAGTTTAGTGTAAGCACTTAAGCAATTGTGACCACCTGATGAAGAAGGACACAGAGGCCCGCAGTGAGTGACCGAGGCGGAGCCATTAACCACTGGAGAAGAGGCTTTGTGATGGCTGGAGGAAACATTATCAGGTTTTTCATATTCAGCCAATGTGAAAACCCTCATAACAGGTTCTGTGCGTTCATAAACTTGGTTTAACTGTTGGGTCTCAACCTCAGTGGTTGGTTCTTCTGTATTGTCCAAATCTTTCACATCAACCGTATGAAGGTTTAACTCAGTTTGTTTAGTATGAATCACTGGTTCTACCTCCATTTCTGACTGTGGCGTTCGAGCTGAGGGTAATGTTTGGTTGCTTGAGTCATCATAAGTCTGGACAGGTTGAATCTCCTCTTTATTTTCCATGTCCAAGACACTGTTGTGAAAGCACTTGGGAAGATTGAAGCTAAGAGTGGATCCTAGAGACAAATAAGAGCCGATGTTTTTAACTGGTTCACTTGAAGTCTTGACAGCATTAGGCAAATTGTCTTCTGGAAAATATTCGGACTTGTTATCGATGACAGAATTCACCGGCAACATGTTTTTTTTAATAAAAACCTGAAGTTTGGAGTTTGATCGACTTTCTTTCGCTCTCCTTTCTCCTTCTGGCCAAGTGTTACACCTTCGCCTGAAAATGCTTGAAGGTTTGCCAGACCTTTCCGATCCAACAGTGCCAAGCAGAGAGCTCCTTCGCTGGGTTTCCTCCTTACTCCTGACTGGCTCTTTCAGCTTGAACAAAGAACTTGGCTTGAATCTGTTGTGATTGTAAACCGTTCCTCTCTCAAGTGTGACATTTTGCCAAAGGAAGGAGGACGATTGAACTGAGGAGGAACCTGATGCAGGGGTTGTCACGTCCTGCCCTGCTGCATGTGTCGAGGACACAACCTCCAAGGCTCGCCCTGTGGATCTGTAACTATCCGAGACGTGCAAATACGTGAACACCTGCAAAAGAGAAGTGAATGCAAACCTTACACTATTATAAAACCAAACTCAAGGCCAGTTGATAATGGCCCACACACATTCTGAAAGCATTAAAAATTGAATGCATATACATACACAGCTGTGATGGCAATAGCCGAAGCATGACTAATACGATTGCATGCCAAGTTAATAAATCCTATATGGCATGTGCAGGCTTCACAGCGAATTATTACAATACACACCACCAGGAGGCATTTCAAAGCCACGCCATGGAAACTTAATCATGAGCTCATTGTTTTACCACATGGGACAGGATGTACAGAGCCGGGAGAATAATAAGCACATGCATGTTTGTGTGCGAGCTTTGAGTTGAGTTTGGAATGTGTCTGAAGTTAACACACTATTTGAAGTCATACTTACTCTATGAGTGACTTCAGTTGCCACTTCATGCCGCAGGTGGTCGTCACTTTGGTTTTGGTTTATTTCTAGATTGTTGTGTGCAGATTTCTGCGTCGAGTTCTGACTGTAGCTTTGTGACTGAGGTTTTTGCACTTGATGCTCTGGATTTTGCATTTGATCAATGTCTGGTGATAGCTGCAGATATGTTTGGTTGTTGTTGTACTGCAGATTCTCTGGTAGGTGATTGCAAATGGATGATTCAGTGTTATATGTGGACAATTGGCTGGATATTTCCTCCTTGTTTGGTGACTGGTCTGGTTCTCCTTGGTTTTTGATTTGCAACTGTGCAAGATTTACACAAGATGACTTGGGTTTGGTCTCTTTACTCATAACTGATTCATTCGGCCATCTCACCTGAAGCATTTCTTTTGGATCTTGCATTTGCATTGAGTTTTTGTCTTGTGATTGACGTCTGTCTGCCTGAATGCTGTTTGCTGACTCTTCGAGTATTTCATTATTGTTGGGTGACCGTTGCTTTGTCACTTGGTTGATGCCTGAAGACTGATCATCAAAGCTCAAAATGAGACAGATGCTAGAGCCTAGGGATGTCTTTGAAAGGCAGGACTCCTGACTAACAACACTGGACACATCATGCCTCCCACTCAGTTGCTCAAAGTTGTTTTGAGAGGGCTGTGTTTCAATAGCACTTCCTTTGACCTCTTCATTTACAATGCACATACTGTTAGAAGGTTTTTTGAAAGGCATAGCCTAAACAACGGGGAAAAAAAACAAATAAAAAATAAGTACACAAATTATAGCACAATTTATTTATTTAAAATAATTTAATAAATTAGAATTTATATAAAATACAAAATATAATTCATGAATGAGGGACTAATGCACACTGCATTATTTAAAATGACAATTTCAAATGACAAATTAATGCATGATTCTTACTGGTCAATTGAAGCATTTTGCTGTGATTGTAAAATACTTCAACATTGTTGTGCAAAGTTGTGTTTCATATCTCTTGCATGACTATTTCTTCTAAAATAATAAGGCTAATTTTTGTTTATTTAGAAAACATCTGTGTATTAAGGAGGATAATGTGCAGTCAAACTGCCATTATTGTAAAATAAACCCCTTCAGGGTGATTCAGGATCCTGATGGGGTTAATTTTGCCATTATGATCACATGACTGTACATTATCCCTTATATTTTTCAATCATATTATTATTAAATGATGTCGAAAAAATTCTAGAAACCTGCTGTTGAACAAGATCATTTGTTGATTCTGGTCTCCCATTTTGGTTTCTTTTAAGCTGCTCTCTTTGAGCGTGCCAGTTCACCTGGATCCATCCCAGCATGCTTTGCAACTCATCTGTTCTCTCCTTGATCTAAAGACAGGAAGATTATAATCAAGAAAACATCATAACGAACATTCTGCAGATGGACACTGCATATTTAGACAGCTGACATCGCTTTTAGATAACCACGTGGCAGCTGTAAGTAAATCAATCACACACTCACAATGTCTTTAAACTGACTCTCATCTTGCATAAGCATTTGACCAGCTGCAGCCAGTTTGCTAAACTCATCCAGCTTTGTTTCAATGCTGCGATCAATCTCTGCAACTTCACTATCTCTCCAAGCAGAGCTGCCAGCAAGGATACAGGATCTGGTGTTCTCCGTCCACGAACTACAGGACACAGGAAAAGCGACTGTATCAAAATGTCACATTAGTCCCAAACTAATTTAATATAACAAAACCACACATGGGAAAGTATTTCTTGCTAATGTTGTTGGCATTAAGTATGAAATATTCACTAGGTATAATTATCCAAATTAGACAGACTTTCTCTTCTTACATCATGGCAAGATAGTTATCGAAGTAGTCCTGAATCTGGTGGAAATTCTCCAGGCGCCCTCTGTTTTCAACCATGTTGCGGCCTACTTCCTCCCCAGCCTGCAGGATCGCCAGAACCTCTTCCCTGAGAGGGTCTCTCTGCTCTGGGGGATGAACTTGTAGCTGACTGGCTAGTCTCTCCATCTCTCTCACCTCTCCCTCAATTATATTATAATGAGCCTTTGTGGGACAAAAAAAATGCGTTCTTTAGCATGATGTTTATGACCTAAAATGTCAAGCTGAAACTCATTCAATCAATTTCAGGGTGCAGTTTGAAAACCAATCCATTATGAAGGATTCTATAAATAATTTAATATTGTGTTTAACCTTAGCAACTTTTTAATACCTAAGAAGCTGGGCCCATCTTTAAATATTGCAGGCAAATATTAATTACTGCTCTAAGGTCATTCAAATAGTGACTAACATTCAATTAGCAAAGGTATTTTTTCATTATCTGACCTCTAGGTCATCCTGCTGCTCCTGTAGCCCCTCCAGACCGCTGAGGTCAGGGTCACAAAGCACAGCCATATCTGTTTCTATGTCCAGGAGGTCCATACTGAGCTCAGCACAGCTGCAGAGGTGCTGGTTTATCCGCAATGTTAGAGTAGATAGCTGAGGAAAGATGTATATTTAAATTAAATGTCAATTGTTTTAATATTTTATCATCTAATTCAATGGCATTGATACATTTTGCCTTAAATTTCCAGAAAAAAAAACTCCCTAGAAAAATGGTAAGCGGTGTTTAAAGTCATTTTTTGTAATACAAATGAGTGAAATATGGTGCTTTTAATTTATTTATATGTAAATCTTTAAAATCACATTGATATTGTACATTACTTTGTGAAACAAACTAATTTTTTACCGAGCTTTGTAGATCATTAGTGATCTGGTCCTGCTTCCGGGGTCTTTCTTGTTCAGTTTGATGACTCATTAGATTTAGTGACATTTCTGCAGCCTCGTCTATTTCTTGCCTTTGCAGAGATCCAGGAACATCCTAAAGCAGATTTACAACAGTGTATTCATCACATTTTCTTAAATCATACACAAACACACCATGTTATGAGTTTGAAATTGAGTAAGCTACTTTTCTTATATTCATGTTCATGTTTTGGTATCATTACAGTTTAATGAAGGTTATGATGATGCTTGGTTTACCTGACTTATTTTGTGACAACCACTGTGATCCAGCAGTTCAAGGAACTTTTCGAGCATTCCTGAACGGCATTCCTCTACATTTTCTGGGAGATTGTTTGAAACTGTTTCGGTCTTATTGTTCTCTCCATATTTCTTCTGCAAAGCATCCCAAAGGACCTCCACCTGGCTTAGGAGCTCCTCTATTTTGTGGTCTTGTCTTTGCTTTGAGCAGTCATGCTCTTCATTCTTTATTCAGTTTACAAAAGGCGATGGAAAGAGATAAGTGAGATCATTTATAAATCAGTTTAGTGCACTGTTCTGAAAAAAAAAATCTTGAAAGTGTATTACCATTCCAGTGGATGTTGTCGACTCCTTCAACAGCTTGGGTCTGAGACATTCTTGAGAGGAAACAGGGGTTGTTTGAGCCCTCTGGCCGATACAGCTGGGAAAACATTATGTGTTAATCAACACTTTACTCAACAACTGCATCTTGAAATCCATTGTATGAAATGACATCAGACATTTATGGATCGTTTACTTCATCAGTCATCCACAGATTCATTGTGAAATAAAAAACTAATTGCACCTCTTCCTGTCCTCTTTTTCAGAGACATTGTCCAGCTTGGAACAGCTGCTCTCCAACAGTGAGTCCCGACTGCCTACAGAACATTCCTCAACCGGACTCCACATCCTATGGGTCCACAGGCCTTGAGAGCACTGCAGAAATACATGTTCAGGCATAGATTAAGTTTAATCATGTATAATTCATGCAAGAATATCACAGATACGGGGGGTGACATCTTTTGACTCGGCTGGTAAGAAACACCCTAGCCTCAGTTTAAAGCCTCAGGGTAAAAGATTGTCTCACCAAACAGAAATTTCAGACCAATCGACTTTTCTATGTGGTCATGACTGGTCATTTATAATCACATGCTTGCAGATGTTTTTGGAGGCACTGCAGCTAACCTCAAATCCTCGGAGACGGTTTTGCTCTTCTTTGACGTCTTTTCCTATTACACTGTGACCCTCATTTCTAGCAAAGCTCTCAGGGCATGTGGTTAGAGGATCAGCGGGTAACGTTGAAGGGCATTTTGAAGAAACATCTGTCTTCTGGTTCCTGTAGAAGTGGAACTAAACTTTACCTCTAATGGCACTACTGGGGCATCATTACTCTTCAAAAGATTTCAAACATATCATGATATTTTATCATCATTTTAGACCATGCAAGTCAGTAGACTGTAAATCTTTAATGCTAACAACTTGCAGATTAAAAATATAAAAATATCCACAGAACACTAGCATCATATCTTTGCAGGTTATGTAACTCTGGTCAAAATTTTGCAGCAATTGTTTTGGGGGTGGGAAGATGTTATTTTTGGCAGGCTTTGTGAGCAATGATGTCACCTCCCTCTTGTCTGGTTAGCTCATAGTTAGTGATAGAGGATTCATTGAGAGAGCCAAAAAGGAGTGTAACCATGGTTCGTTGGCTGCAAAAAATTGGCTAATGTCTGCAACAGCTTCTTTTTTCAAAAAGACAGATCTAAAAGAATGTGTATGTAGTGATCATTTTTCCATAGACATTTTTAAAAACCCATAAAAAATGCTTGATAAGCAATTTTTTGTTTGAGAATAACAATTGGAGAGAGAGGTCTCTTAGCCCCATTATCCAAACCTATTCATATTGGAATATGTAATAATATTTAACATTCCTTCCTGATTTTCACATTTTTCCAAAGTTATTCAGTTTCTAGTAATATATATCTATAATATAAATATATATGGTAATTAGGTATAAGAAGGTTATTATAAGAAGGGCTTATTTTACTCTGGTTTGTTGTTCAGTCTTTCTGTATTAGTCTGAACTAGTTGCTTTAGTAATGAGATTTATGACGAACATTCAGACAGTTATTTCTTATAAGTTCCTTCCTCTCTGCATGGGCACATTCCTCTAGATGTGTTTTCACAGAGTATCTGTCTCCCATCATCATATCTTCATACCATACATATGAGCTATTCCTCACATCTGCACTAGAGCTGAGGCTAAATCTTCTGTTGTCACAGCCTTTGTTCATCAATAACCACCCTTTCTCTATTTCTTTCCCTGTCTGTCAGTCTTTCCTCTCTGACACTTTCAGAAGTCAGAGGTCACATTTCAAATCTGAGTTTCCATAATGGTGTGAGTATTTTGTGGAATTCTGTGTCTAAAGCTGTTGACTGTTCTGTGATAAGAGCTATGATACAATGTGATATTTTGTAACTTAAAAGGGTGATGTTAGCAGCCACTGATTACAGCTTTCTATAATGGCATTGGCAATGTTTTAAACCAGTTGTGCATGGTTTAATAGAAAAATGATCTAATAATCGCTCATTAAGTATGCAAAATAATATTTTTGTAAGCTCTTAAGTGACCTTTGTCTTCCTGCACACTTTAAAAAGACACAAAACATTACATAAACTGGTAAATGCTTAAACGAATCAATGCGTGAAACTAAATATGTAGCATTTGCGTCAAAACAACATCTACCATCTATGATCTAAGACTCTGGAATAGGTCAGTATCAAAATAAAAGACCATAATATTACATCACTACACCACATGTCAGCTCCACTCCTGCATTTTGACAAGTATGGATTCCATTTCAGCATGATGCAATTTACTATTCCAAGCTTTAATATGACATCACTGCGCTCAAAAACTTTGTTTACTATTGTTTTTTGTTCACAGGAGGACAATGGGAGTAAGTGGACTTTCGCTTACTGGAGAAAGTCCTGGAGAAGTGCCCAGTTCTCCTTCACCTCGGCCTGTTTGCATATTACTCTTCTGGCCAGGGTTGGGTGGAGAGTTGACAGGCAAGACGCAGACTCATTCAGCATCTGGAAAGAGAGTTGTCCAGGGAGGTGGGGGTGGGGTCATGGAAGGAAATGACATCATTCATTTGGAGTTCATTTGCTACAGTCTGTGTGTGAGACTAATACAACCGTCTTCTATTTGGTTGAGTGAGAAATCATACATAAAAACACAAAGTGACTGTGGCACTGTGACACTGTTTTGATGTTCTCAAATCATGGGTTGACTTACGTTGATCTGACAGGCAATTTCTCTGGTCTCTTTGTCGCTTTTTTGGATTTCGCCCGCTAATACACGGTTCCTCTGCAACGAAATTCATCCTGGATCAGGACTTGTATTACAATCATGATTTATAAAGACAGTTTGAGGTCTTCTCTAAATGCCAAAACTAATCAACCCTTGTTTGCCCAACCTTGCTGTTAATGGCGCCAATGATGCTGTCGGCTTGTTGGTAAAACGACGAGACGTCTAGAGCCAACATGAGATCCTGATGATAGTCCCTCAGGAGTGACCTCATCTTCAGCCACCTGCAGAGAAACCGAGCAGTTTATGTCACTAAAAAAAGAGTAATAATGCTCTATGCTCCATTGTACCAGGAAATCTTACGATTTGTCAACGTGGTCCCCCGGGCTTTGTCTTCTTCTAAACATTTCCAATCCTAAATCTACAGCATCTGTCTTCTTCTGAAGAGGTCTTTTTGGTTCCTCCTGGCACAGGGGATGAATTAAGAGTACATGAGGTAATGGTACAAAAAGACACATTAATAAACAAAACAGAAATATCATTACGGTGCATTTAACCTGCATCAAGTCCAGACTCGTCGTCAGTTGGATGAGAGAGTTCTCAAAGTCTTTGAGGTCTCTCCTTTGGCTGTGAGATGTGTCCTCCGGTTGATCATGTGGGAAAGTTGGCATGCTGTAATCATAATGAAGATTCCTTATCTTCCTTCCTTTAGTGCATGGATCAATCTGTAAAGATATATAGCGACTAGAATATGAGTTTTACACTGTGTTTTCAAAGTTGTAAATTAAACAATGATTATTGGAGTACGTTTTTCAAAAAATACTGTTTCAGTTTTCAGTTGAAGTATTGCAGTGTTCAGTGTCTACTTTAAAGTTTCACATTTAATTCAATGTGTTTCTAGCCATTTCTGAGTGAAAAGACCTATTTTATTTGTGTATGTGGATTCAATGTTTTTTGAAGACACTGAAACTTTTTTTAGTTTCCTAATTTTAAGTGTTTTTATTTATTTATCTTTAATTTAAAAAAAGTTATTCAGTTTCTAGTAATATATATCTATAATATAAATATATATAGGCCAAACAAATCATTTGTTTCTAAGGCCACTGGATGATTTTTGTGTATGTGTGGTTTCAGTTAGTTGATTGATAATTTAGGGGGAAATTGCTTGAAAAAACTTGAATCATGATTTCTGTGTTGAAAGCATTCTACAAAGATTTTACACATAAGTATGTGAACTGTAGTATTCAATTAAATATCAATTGGACACGTTTTGTGTAGTACAAATTTCATCACTACATGAGTAATCAATATATATTTTTAAAGTTTTCCCATGAAAGAAATTATCCTTAACAAAAAATGTAATCAAAATTATTTTTTAAACAAAAATCTTATCAATATATGGATCTGCTAAAAGTGTATTTTCAATAGCCTCAGGCCTAATAGACATTAATTAAATGCTAACACAAAACTCTAATTAAGTGAGTAGGTAGGTAGGTAATTAGGTATAAGAAGGTTATTATAAGAAGGGCTTATTTTACTCTGGTTTGTTGTTCAGTCTTTCTGTATTAGTCTGAACTAGTTGCTTTAGTAATGAGATTTATGACGAACATTCAGACAGTTATTTCTTATAAGTTCCTTCCTCTCTGCATGGGCACATTCCTCTAGATGTGTTTTCACAGAGTATCTGTCTCCCATCATCATATCTTCATACCATACATATGAGCTATTTTTTATTGTGTGTTTTTTATAGCAGTAATAATATAAACTATTATGGTTTTCATCTGTGGTCTTCGCCAATGACCTCACAGACTCTTGACCGACAGACTATTTCTCATTTTGTAAATCTCCCAAAATCTCTTACATCATTCTATGTTGCTGCAACTAATTCGATTTGTGCGCCAAGTTCGGGTTCTTCTGCAGTTTCTCAGCTGTTAGGCAATAAAAAAATGTTGTTTGTTTGGGTACATGAAGTACAGATTAAGTCCCGAATTGATTTGAAAAGATTGCTTACAAGATGATATGCCAAAACATTCTCTTCAGAGGTTTCAGATACAGTGCAGTGCAGTGTATGCTATAGAGCATGCTATTTCTATACAGTTGAATTTCTACATTTGCCTGTCAGTTCCACATGTTGTATTATGCTTTGAAAACTGCTTGTTTTTCAATAGACATTTAACTTGGGTTTATCTTGAATAGTTTGTATTTGCAGTGCAGACACAGTGAACACCTCATGATTATACACCTGTGTTTAGAACACCCGGGGGATTTTTATGATGTATTTTAGAGTGTAAAACACAATAATAGCAGGATCTGAGTCTGTTGGCCCACCAACAATACATGAGCCTGCAGCAAGGTGTGGTGCTTCCAAATAATGATCTCATCTATTAGCGGTGGTGTTTTATGTTGCAGATCTTGCATTGCTTAACTTGTATTCTACACCACTGCGATGACTGCGAAAAAATTCTTTAAGAGTGCGCAAACCACACCTTCTGCCCTTTAACATTTATAGTTTTGTTTTACCATTTACATAAAACCGGGAATCAAGTATAAGTTGTGGAATACTGTAACATAATTTGGCACTTATTTATCCATAAAGTGCATCACAACCAATAGTTTAAACATTATTTCATTAATGTCTGATCATCAGTTTAGACTCTTTCCCTCTGTGTTCCAGTTTGGAACTACTCTCCATTTTTTATGGGGAAATTACAAGTTCATCTCGGCTGTGGGCTTGTGTAACGAAGGGCCTTGCTATGACCTCATCTCAATGATCACAGAAACTGTAATAATCACAGATTTTTCTTCTTTTTTTCCCCTCTCACAATAAGACAATGTGTTCTTGTTGTACTCATTTGTGCTATGAGAAGCTGCATTTCTAGATTTGCAGTGGGAAACTCTTCGCAGACGTTTGTGGAGACTGTGCATGGGCAGGCGGTAACTGTAACAATTTAACGAATAGCTCATAAAAACTGTCGAGAGACTGAGAGAATAACAAATATGGAGCTGGTGTTTGTGCTGTTGGTTTGTGACTTCTGTGAAAAAAAATGTTGCGATGCCAACTAACTAAAAATTTTTACATTTGAAAAGTGTAGAGGTTGGTTTGTTTCTGTTTGTGAGTCTAAAATTGCATTCAGTGAGAATCATTTAAAATATTAAAGTGGGATATGTATCTCTCTCTCTCTCTCTCTCTGTGTGTGTGTGTATATATATATATATATATATATATATATATATATATATATATATATATATATATATATATATATATATCTCATCTCAATGATCACAGAAACTGTAATAATCACACAGATTTTTCTTCTTTTTTTCCCCTCTCACAATAAGACAATGTGTTCTTGTTGTACTCATTTGTGCTATGAGAAGCTGCATTTCTAGATTTGCAGTGGGAAACTCTTCACAGACGTTTGTGGAGACTGTGCATGGGCAGGCGGTAACTGTAACAATTTAACGAATAGCTCATAAAAACTGTCGAGAGACTGAGAGAATAACAAATATGGAGCTGGTGTTTGTGCTGTTGGTTTGTGACTTCTGTGAAAAAAAATGTTGCGATGCCAACTAACTAAAAATTTTTACATTTGAAAAGTGTAGAGGTTGGTTTGTTTCTGTTTGTGAGTCTAAAATTGCATTCAGTGAGAATCATTTAAAATATTAAAGTGGGATATGTATCTCTCTCTCTCTCTCTCTCTGTGTGTGTGTGTATATATATATATATATATATATATATATATATATATATATATATATATATATATATATATATATATAT